ACAACCAATTGTTTTAATTTTGGCTACCTTATGTTGTACGAGAAAAGAGAAAGATAGCAATTAGTAGGCTAAAATGTCCAGTGACAAAATAAGTTGTAAATGTTCATATTATTATTGTATTAACTATGCATTGCATATCGTTTTATTCAATACGGGCTATATTCAAGGCATGTTTAATGCACTGTTTATGTACTTGAATGCACCAATACAAAACATTTGGTTTTTGTCTAAAATTTTGGGTTGTTTTAAACTCCATGATCAGCATAAAACTGCAAGCCCCGTTAGTGCTTAGATTATTGATATTTTTCCAGGTGTACAATTATTAAGAGATTTGGTTTATTACTATTTATTATTTTTTATTGGTTTATTTGTGATTATAGATTAAAACTTTCGTATATTCAGAATTTAAGAAAGTAAACTATTCAACAGTCGATTCTTTTGCTTTTTCTCACCGTTTGATTATTAACACCCGTATTGATGTTGTAAGCAGTTTTCCGTATCTTAGTCCATCATCATCATCACCAGCCCGATATGGGCCTTGGTCGACTAGCGGTGACCCAACGTCTCCCGTCACCGTATATTGTGGTTTTCATAACCATCGTCACACAGAAATACTTATAACACTTGTAACTCGGGACATTTGTAAGGAACATGCTCAGTCGTTATTCTGCACCGGCCGGGAATTGAACCCGGGATTGCCCTGGGGAAGCGATCACGCTTAACGAGCCACCGACGGCTATATATTAGACATATTATTACTAAAAATATGTTAATTACAGCCGCATTCCAATATTTGTAATGCTAGAATATAGCGCATATTTGGTGCGTTCTCAAGGATTTCAGAAAGTTTAATAGTCAGATGATTTGATTTCTGTTTTTTCTTTGGATTACGCGTATATCTGACTCCCAACCGCACAGCGCGAGACGCGTACCCGCCGCTTCTTACTCCAGCCCCGCGGCGCGACGGTTGGCAGCGAGGCGCTGCGCCCCGCCACTTGCGCCTCTTCACGCGCTCCAATCGGCTTACAATATTCGCGGGCTGAGTGCTGGCGCGCCCACGTAGCCGAGGTGGGGGACGGGAGAGTGTGGAGTGGGAAGTGGCTGAGAAAGGCTCCGACCAACGAGGCTGGCAGGGAGGGGGGAAGCGAAGAAATAAGCCAGGTGCGCGTCTCCTGGGACAAGAGGAAAATCCAGCTATACTCCGATTTAACACTGTGGCACTTCAAGGTCACGAGCTGGACGGAGAGAGGGACAGTAATCCAATTAGAAGCTTTCTTACGACTTTAATTTTTGGTATTGGCGCTCCCGATTGGATGACAATACATCCCCTCTCTCAGAGTACGTGACCGTAAAGTGCCATCATATTTAAATCGGAGTATAAGCTAGATGCGCGTCTCTGGGGACGTGATAAAATCCAAGTGTACTCCGTTTTAAACTCAGTGGCACGTCAAGATCACGAGCTAGACACAGCGGGGGATACTGTCGTCCAATCGAGAGTTTCTAAAATAATTGGCTTGAATTCCAAAAGACAAACATATTAACTAACTTAACATAAAACTGATATTGAATATTAATTAAACTTAACATAAATTTGAAATTGTGAAATACTATTGGAGTATTTTCGTGGGGACGGTTATCACTATAATAAAAGAAAAATAAACAATTTTTTCTTGTCTTAAAGACTCAGTTCGCCGGGAGGGGTGCATTATTTTAATACAAAATGTAGAAAAAGCAAAATAAAATGACAAAATTCTGTTTTGACCTTTTAGTCCGCTACGCATGACCTGAAAGAGCCGCTTTTACTAGTGGCTGCCCGAAAGATGCTTTGTGAGCGCTCTGGGTGTCAGTTCAACGGGCTGCGGGGGACGGCGGCGCGGGACAGGACTCGTTAGAGTGCACCTAATGAGAGTCGACTGTGGACGAGTGGCTACGCGATTGGTGGTGAGCCAGAGTTGAACCCAGTTCTCGACGCACAGACAGGGTCGCCAGAAGCTTAGTACAAACATCCGCCGTTAGATAGATGTAAATCCGCTCAATTCCGATGTGAAAAATTCGACATTCCAAGCGGGAAATTTGAATTTGCATGAAAAAAAACTATTAAAAGGCTTTTGTGACACTGTGACCCTATGAAATGGTTGATTACTTGTATTTTTTGTTTGTGAGCATTGTAATTAATAAGGGAAAAAACAATTTCCCCACTTTATTTTCACCTTCTTTGCTGTACTTAAATACCCGCGCTTGGAAAGATTAGCACAGAAACACTACATGCATGCTTATTCCCTATGGCTTAACGGAAAGTACTGGCCGTGAAACCGTGCTTCTAAAATATGACTTAATTTTACTACATGCCATTTATAATAACTACAAGTACAGCCAATGTAATATAGTTACTCGTATTAAATACTCATATAGTGCACGACGAAGACGCTATGGCTTTAAGAACACACCCTATAATAAAGGTCTACAAAACTAACATTACTCACTACTCAAAGTAAATATGAACGAATTAACAAGTGATCAATGAAAAATAATGTATTATGTATAAAACTAAAAATCAAGCTCATTGTCAATGTTGTGATTATTTTTCAAAATTTTCGTCGTAATCTGAAAACCCGCCCAAAAGTGTACATGTATAGAGAAACAGACAGTCAGACAGACAGACGTTTTTGAGCCCAAAAAGCGAAATTCCACCCAATCTGGCCACACTGCGCACAGGGGAAAATAATAAAGAAATCTCGGAGAGTGTTTTCGAGAAAGGGCGATGAGACAATAAAGTGAGATCCAATGTGGTGACCTGTATGGGAACGGGCGTCTATGATGCGAAACGTCGCAATACATTTACAAGGATTTCCGAAGGCGTAAAATTACCTTGTTAGGGAACTCGAGGTGGCGGCATTTCCGTTTAAAATGAGCAAATGGTGAATGGCAATAAAACAAGACAGTATTAGGCAGATAAATAAGAGACCAAGAAAAGGAGGGAATGAAAGGAAATAGAAGAACTAGTGGAAGATACCAGGAAGGAATGAGTTGAGTTGACAGATGAGTGGTAAACCAGAAAAACACGAAAAAAGGTAAATGAACTGATGTATAGATAGTTTGGTAGATATAAAGAGGGAGGGTGGGCGACAGAAAGATAATGCAAGTGAGAGAGCTAGAGAGAAACACAAAAAATCAGCGATAAGCATAAGAAAAAGACAGAATGGATATACAGAAGGGACTGAATAATTTGAAGAATGAAGGGACAAAAATCGAAATATACATTCATTGTAATGAAAGGAGTTATCATAGAAATCTTTTATTTTAGGTTTTGGGATCAATTAATGCCTGTAATGGTCTCTCTGTCAGTCAGTAAATATTTGTTGAAAAAGGTATGAATAGAAGAGTACTTACTTACTAGTGCGAACGTACCCATTTAAAAAATACAATTTTAAATATTCTATTAAACAAATCATATTTCAAATACAGTACTCTCAAATGCCCAACAGCAGAACATTAATTATGTAAAAATATTTTTTTTGTAAAGAATGGTGATATGTCTTATTGGTTTACAGAGTTAATTATTTGAAATATTTCATTCAAGTAAGTGTAGAGAATGAATACCAGCTTCACTTTCGTTTATTTACCCCTCGACATCAAATAAATCTGCAATATAATCTCCAACACTTCTCTTAAAATGTTTTGATCTGAGGGCGCTTGTCCACCATGGCGTACTCTTCAAATGACATACTAATGCCATTATTCCATGCGTCTGGTAAAGGAACAAGTTTATTTGTGAACTCAACATTATCAGTTTTGAATTCATCCTTCTTTTCGGAAAACATTGGCACAAGAATTTCGAATTGAGGAAGGTAAACATTGAATGAAGCACGATTATCTTCAATGGACGCGAAAAAATCTTCTAATCAACGTCTATTTCGTATGAGGTAAAATCAATTTAGTCAAGTCTCATTGCACCGGAGAGGAAATATTAAGAGTATATTTGGGACAATAAACGCATTTAAGTGCTTCCAAATAACTCCGATTTTTTCCTCCATTGTAGAAAGGCGAAGACTATGTGCCTGCTATACGTGAAGCATTGATTCAAGCAAGCCTCTGTGAACACCTTGGTGCTCTTCCGAATGAAATAATCAGTCTGATGAGGCGACGTGGTGTAGGTCAATGAAAAAGAGCGTTTGTACGGTACTACATACGAGCATAAGGTTCGAATGCGCGAGGCACAGCATTTGGCGAACAGCTCGCAGTGCAAACCAGACACAAGAGCTGTGGTGAGACAGTAAGATGTTAGGCTAATTAAAGGACGAAGCTGGAGAAGGGTTCTGTGCCGCATTTGCGATGTTGATAACATGTCCAGCTCATGCTAATTAACATACTATTTGAAGTAACCAATCTCATTTTTTAACATTAATATATCATCGATTTGTAAATAATTACAAGAATTTCAAAAAATTTAAGTTGAATTTGTTTGCAAAAAGTTTAAAGAAATATATTTAATGAAGGCACAGTTTTGAAAATGGATCGTAATGTTTGATTTCGGACTCCATTGTTGATTTTACACTAAACAATTAACTTTGCTACTTCACAATAACTAAGTAAATTGAAACGGCGGAATTTTCTGAGACGTTTTTAACAACATACTCTCATCAGCCTTTCATTTTAACGACACTGTGAGATGTTTCTCACAAATATTACTCAAACAGTAATAATGGATTATACGATCGTAAATGAAGTAATATTAATAATTTTATATTAAATTATAAAACGAATACAATTAGTATAACATTAAATTACAAATATATTGTACGCTGTCACACACACACCTGAAATTTATAAAATGCGTACCATTACAATGGATATGTTTTTAGCAATATTATAACATCATACGATAAATTTATTAAAACGTGCCTTGTGTGGTATAGGTTTTATTGTTCTTTATTACTTATATTTGTATTCATTTCTGGACCATTTTTTTTGTCGACTATTTTAGTGTTTATAAAATTGTTATGCGCCTTGTGTGTTTCGAATGTGGGTCGCTGACGAAGTGTCGTGTGTTGGCAGGCATCTCCATGCACAAGGGCTACGCCTTCGTGCAGTTCACCAACCCGTTCGACGCACGCAGCGCCTGCCTGGGAGAAGATGGCCGCACAGTGCTGGGTCAAGTCCTTGGTGAGTGCTCTGCTGCTCTATGGATGCACTGCTGCCACGCTCCTCTGATGACGCTCGCGAGAATACACGTGTGAAGGCCGTTAGCAACATTTCAGAAACAAAATATTGCTGACACTCTGCTAGTGTTCTGCAAATCAACTATTTAAATCAGTCATTGTTAGTGAAGTGCAGTTTACATACGAATTTCATTTGTAAATTCTCACTTATTAACGTATAAAAGTTGAATAATTGAGTCGTAGTTTTACTTTTATAGAAATACAATTTATTGGGAGTAATCAAACTCTTGGTCTCGAATTAAAATGAAATTTTGTTAATTAATTGCTTACGGACCCCATGTCATTAAGAGAATGGCATCAGTGCTGAAATAAATAGACTTTATGAAATAGAATTTCAATTTCCTGTATTTCCTTTTATGATATGGTTAATTGAGGTGCGTGAAACTGTTTTCCTTTGGAACTGAGATTAAAAACAAGAATATTTTATTATTTGGAGCATTTTTATTGTACTAGTATTTATTTTGCGTACTATATAATTTTTGTTTATTGCAATCTTAAACTTTTAAAAACTCTTCTCATTTCATAAGAGATTTCTTTTGAATCATGACTGAAATCGACAATCAACAAGAATAAAACAAACGCGTTTGTTTTCTACTGTTATCTCAGCGTTTATTTTCTACTTATCGTTATCAAGATGTAGACTTTCCAAATAAACTAGTGGTGCTATAACAGCCCGTACATTCTCGCAATCTCGCATTCTCATATTGGTTATGTAATACTATAACGTAACGATTCCTGCCTAACACTTCAGCTACCATTTGAGAAATTCTTAAAGAAATGAAGCGCGAAAACTACATCTGTTTTTTTTATTCAATAGTCTGAAACGTATGAACAGCTTTCTGCCATTGAATTCAGTGTGTTCACGTTCTACGTGTAGCAACGATGAATAATACTAATTTTTTCTGTAAATAAAATTATTAGTTTTTAATAAAATAAATGCTAAAACGTTAAATGTCATATAACTGACAAACTAATAACTGTAACTATTCAATTTTTTAGAATCATTTGTGTTAGACGTTTGACCTTTATTTCGAGTTTTCTATCTTGAGCATTAATCCATACTATGAAGATTCAAATACTTTCATTACACTGCTTTTATTCTACGTTTTTATGCCTTTATATTCAAAGGGAAAGTGGTAAAGGGTTGGAAAAGGGTAACTAAAAGATACAATTGTTTGTCCGACTTGGCTAATAACAGGGTCCAAACATCCAAGCCAATAACAGGGTCCATGTACATCCAAGCTTGCATTCTTTATAATACCATTTACATGCAAATAGATGGGTGTTTATGGTTACGAAAATAAAATAAATAGAGGTACTTTTTGTTGTTATTTCCACATTTTTCGGGTTTTCACATAATTTAAAATCTGATCAATAGTAGCTCATTCAACAGTGATGCGCTTTGGAATGCTTTTATCACTCATTGTCACACGCAGGCAAAATGATTTGTCACCCCAATTGGTTGATTCTCTCTCAAAATGACTCATTTACATTTATCCCTCCAACACTACGTAGATTACTCACCATAGCGGAGAAATCGGTCGGATCGTGCTGCCGCGGGCATTCGCTCGGCGTCAGCGGTGTCCGAAAGCACAGAGAGGGGCTCGGGGGGAGGAAGAGGAGAGGGGGGAGGAATGAAGCGCAGGTACAGGAGTTGCGAGGGTGCGCGGGGAAGTGCACAGAGATTACAAAGTTGCTCCACTGCACGGAGGGGGGGTGACGCGTTCGCCTTTATTTACGTTGATGGGTTTTTGAACGCGCCTCCCAGCCGCCCTAAGCCTCCTGCAGAGTTTGGCCGCGAAACACTCCAAGCAACGCTTTCGTTATTCGGAAGGCGGAGAAGTTGTGTAAATAGTTTTTAGATTCCGTTGCTCATCTTTTAGGATGTTTCTTGAGATAATCTTTCGCCTGGAAAAGTTTCTACGAAAGCTGGAGATTGTGTTAGTTGATTGTTCATAAACATTGTTTAAACCCGAGACTATTTTGCAGAGTAATTAAAGAAATGAAATATATCTACTGTCATAATAGGTACTTCAACTTTCTCGCAAGAGAATATTCTTACTTCCGTCAATTTTATTTGTGCACTATATATATATATATATATATACATATATATATATATATATATATATATATATATATATATATAAATATGACGTTTCAATTTCAGTGTTGATCTTAGAAATATTTTAAAATCAATTTTATTGACCGACGCACGCGTAGTTTTTGAAAGCGGGACAGCGGACTAGTTCGATTCGCAACGGAAATTGAATAAATCCTAGAAACCTCAAGTGTCTCCGGAGAGGAACTAGCAACTCAAATGCAATCACTGAGTTTGCCGCCCCTCTCCACGCGAGTCGCCGAGAGGCAGCGAAGAGCCGAACCCGGGTCCTTGAGGGACGCGCGCGGACGTGAACTGTCGGATGGAGAGCGCGCACTCGCAGCGAAGTGCGCGGCGGAATTTCCTGCCGCTTGACACGTTGGCCCAACACCCCAAAAAGCTGGCCAAAATATCCGTTAAATGAGACGTTGTCCAAATTAAATGAAACTTTGTAGACAATGGTCTTTTGGCACGCTGATTACAATTCTAATGCCAAAATTGTAACAAGAACAAAAAATGGCGGATCCAATTTTTAAAACGTCTGCAAATATTTGAATTTCTATTAAAATGTGTAAACAGCATTTTATGGGTTCGCTGATTCCGATACCAATGATAACATTGCCAAATACAAAATGACTGATCCAATTTGGCGGATTAAAAATTGAGAAACGTCTAAAAATGTTTTAATTTTTATAAAAATTTGTAAATATGTTTTTATGGGTTCTCTGATTCTGGTTCCGCTGTAAATATTGCAAAAAACGGAATGGAAGATACAACATAAAAAATAAAAACTTAAATCTTCTAAAAATGTTTCATCCATTGGAATTTGTAGGCCGGACGAATGGAGAATAGTAGTTTTTTGACATTTCAATAGCTCAGTAGAAGAGAATGAATTTCTAAAAATCTCGTTACGAAACTCTGAGGAACGTATAACCGTTTTCCAATAGAAAAAACACAAATTAATTATATCATTTTGTTTCAACATTAATTATTATTTAAGTACTTTTAAGATGTTCTATAGTAATTGTAGTAGGTGTAAACACCGTACTCACCATTACAATTTCCGTTCACTTTGAATGATAAAAACTGCTCCGAACCGAAAACCCCTGCTCGGTCAACTGTGACGTTTTCAATGATGCAGAATGATACTGTCACTAATCGGCCTTTCTAATCGTGGAATTAGACGCTTTGGGAGCCAGTCTATCCAACTGGTTCCTTAAAGTTTCCTAAATAAAACGTTTTTTTCGTCTTTTGGCCATCTTTTGGGAATCTTGCCCCAGCGTGCGCGCTCCGTGACCAACTTACGACTTCGATCCGGCGGGCGGCCGGGGAGCTGGCGAGTGGGTGGGTGAATGGCGGCCGAACAGGCTATGCAAGATGCACGCGGCCCAATGCCCCAGTGCTGCCTCGCCCCGTCGCCCTCTCCCTCCCCCCGGCGCTGCCGCCGTCCTCTTGCCTCGTCGCTGGCCGCCTGTCCCTTCCAATTCGTCTTTCCTGCGCCTCTGCGCCTCTGTGGGTTTCGTCGCTGGGGAGTCGCGACGCGTCCATCTCCGCTGATGGTCCTCCACTGCTCTCGTCAGTCTGTCCTGCGACTGACGGTGTCACTGAAAGCTCTTCGGTCGCTCTCTTGGATTATTCCACTAAGCTTTGCTGTAACTGTTCGCAAACGCTCTTTTAACACAGTGCCCTAGCACAGGAACGCTGATTCGGTTCTCCTTTTTGGGTTCTGTTATACTGTTTTGGTTTTTATGATTGTGAGGTCTGCTGTGAAACAACAAATTATTGCAGGAATGAAATATTGTGGATCTTGTTTTTTGACGCTTTAGCCGCTACCACCGTCTGTGTGCCGCAAAGTCCCATTAAACTTCCAAAGTGTACCTCTGTACAGTGCCTAGTTTCACTGCTGCTGTGGTCGCATGTCGATGACAGATACCTCTTTTGTTTCCAACGCCTCTACTTTAACCACTGCCTGCTCATGTCCCAATCATCCTACTCTCACATACGAATTTCAAACACTCATTTTACTGCTACATCGCACGACCCAAGTAAGCAAGTACATCTCTCCTGATGGACGTCGCTTCCCTCGTAGCTGCCACTTATCTACTTGAATTCCTCGGTCTACCTCTTCATCCTCCCTTCCGCCCTCGCATTTAAAATCCATCCCTCCCGTTCCAAACGTCCCCCCCCTTTTCAAAAATCTTCCCTCTCCACTATAAATTCCTGCCCTCCCGTCTCCAAAACCATCCCCTCCTCTCTCCAAATACCTCTCCTCTTCTCAAAGTCCTCTCCTCTCTTCTTCAAAATACTTCTCGCCGTTATCGAAAGTTCTCTCCTCCCTCCCCTTTCGAAAGACCTCCCCTCTCTTCTCCAAAGTCCTCCCTTCTATCCAAAGACCTCCTCCCCCCTCTCCAAAGTCCTCCCCTCCCCTCTCCAAAGTCCACCCCTCCCCTCCTCAAAGTCGTCCCCTCCCC